GGTCCTTGGCCCATTTATGGATTGGGTTGTTTCTTTTTTTGGTGTTTAACTTTTTAAGTTCTTTATATACCCTAGAGATTAGTGCTCTATCTGATGTGTGAGGGGTAAAAATTTGCTCCCAAGATGTGGACCTTCTATTCACCTCACAGATTGTTTCTTTTGCTGAGAAGAAACTTTTTAGTTTGAGTCCATCCCATTTATTGATTCTTGATTTTGATTCCTGCACCAGAGGAGTATTATTAAGGAAGTTGGGGCATAGTCCCACATGATGGAGATTAGGACCTACTTTTTCTTCAGGAAGAATAATGCATATCATTAGCTTTTAAGAAGTATATAGTTTTGGGGGCTCTTAGGGAGATATTTGGCTCCTGAGAGACAGATAGACAGACAGAAGGAGAGAGAGAAGAGGAGATAAAAGAGATGTTCTGGACACATGTTGCTTATTTCTCTACATTGGCCTTGTAAATTCACTTCTGATTGTCAGATTCATTCACTTTCTAGGATATGTCCTGTTGTCCACTCTAGTAAAATCTTTTACTAACTTTGGAGGGCTTTTATAAGTCATCTCTTCTATAAACAAGTCTTAGTTGGTATACTAAATACTATGCATTTATTATAGTACCATCTCTACTCGGAGCCTCAGTTTGATGCCCCTGACAAGCCGGAGTTAGTAACTTTCAAGACCACATTTGGAACATTTGGCATTTTCACATGCTTTGACATACTCTTCCACGATCCTGCAGTTACCCTGGTGGAAGATCACCAAGTGGATACCATACTGTTTCCCACAGCTTGGATGAATGTTTTGCCTTTTTTGACAGCTATTGAATTCCACTCGGCTTGGGCAATGGGAATGAGAGTTAATCTTCTTGCAGCCAACACACATAAGGTTGGCCAAAACATGACAGGTAATTTATAACCAGGTATGATGTGTAGCGTATACTTCTACACATAGAGAAACTAATGCCTCAGAGATGATCTGCCTTGTTTTTTTGCTTTTTGGGTGAAACGTCTCACTACGTCCATCCTCCTTTTAGAAGAAAAGCTAGGGC